CTCAGGAGGCTGAGGCAGGAGAATCACTTGAACTTAGGAGGCAGAGGTTGCAGTGAGCCAAGATTGCACCACTGCACCCCAGCCTGGGTGATAGAGCATGACTCCATCTCAAATAATAATAATAATAATAATAATAGGGCCGGGGTGGTGGCTCATGCCTGTAATTCCAGCACTTTGGGAGGCTGAGGTGGGCAGATCATGAGGTCAAGAGATTGAGACCATCCTGGCCACATGGTGAAACCCAGTCTCTACTAAAATAAAGACAAAATTAGCTGGGCATGGTGGCGTGTGCCTGTAATCCCGGCTACTCGGGAGGCTGAGGCAGGAGAATTTCTTGAATCCAGGAGGCGGAGGTTGCAGTGAGCCAAGATCATGACACTGCACTCCAGCCTGGTGCCTGGCAAGTGAGACTCCATCTCAAAATAATAATAATAATAATAAGAAGAAGCTGGTCTGGGCTATCCTACTTACTTGATCTCAGTCCCCTCTACCCAAGAGTGTCTCTGTTCTGCATCTTTCTAGGCACAGGCTAGCCTGGGTTTCCCAGCCTCCCTTGCAGTTAAGGAAGACCATGTGACTATGTTCTAGCCAATGGGATGTGAGTAGAAGTGAATCACTTTCAGGCTTGACCATCAAACTCTGTGTGTGATTTTCCACCAGAGGGCAATAGAGGAGTCCTAAGGGGATCCAGGAGGCACAAGATGGAAAGAGCTTGGATCCCTGAGTCACCGAGTGGAGGAAGACAAAAAATACCATATTGGCTTGTTAGACAAGAGATAAATCAACTCCAATTGTGTTAGGCCGAACAAAAAGTTGGGGGAATTTATTTGTTATAGAAGCAAGCCTCTCCCTAACAAATACAGTGGGAGGAGGAGGGATGGAAGAATATTAACTCAGGATACCAACCAAGAACTTGGAGGAAAGGTGAGTCTGAGAGGACCTGGCTGAGGGTGTCAGGAACGTGGTGGTGGAAGGGCAGGAAAGAAGCAGAGTGAAAATCCGAAATATTATTACTTAAGAGTTACTTAAAAACGACCACAGGTTATCATCCTGTATCACAATTACTAAGCCAGAGTCATTTAACATTTTCAAATCGTAACAGACCCAGCTGTGCAACGGGAATGTGCCTTCTTTGTACTGTTGCATAGAAACAGTCATCGGGACGTCCTGTTTCTCGCCTCCTTCTAGGAATTGGTGAGTCATCTTGTGGCACTGGAACTTCCCTTATTCCTTTTCCTGTGGAGTCATGCTTCCAACTAGGGCAAAACGAAGCAATCACACACTTCCACGAAGACATTTACCAGCGCTTACTGCTGACAGAAAGAGTTTCTCCACTCTTATGAAGTCGTATAGTAAAGAAGTCTTCTCTGGCCACTTGTGTGTGGCCTTCACTGTCACCATATCCTGTATTATTAATTACTAATATGTTTCTTTACACCATCTACTTTTACAGTTTAGTCTGGTCTGGAGGAAGAATATTCATGAAATCATAGTTGGACGAGCCAAATACACGTTGTCTTAACATGATGCGGTAGACCGACAGCAATGATGGCGGCAATGTTAACCTCCCTCCAACAACCCACCATCCCCTTTGCAACGGGACTGTGCAGCTTCTTCCAACAAGAGCTGAAGTCTGTTTTCTACCCTTTGAATGTGGGCATGGAGACAAACTTTGGCTAACAGACTTGTGTCAGCCCTGAGACAAGGCCCTATGAGCCTCTGGAGGCTGTTCTCTGTCTCCAGGACCCTGCTGTTGCCTTGTGAGCAGGCCCCAGCTGGCCTGCTAGAGGGTGATGCTGAGGGGGCCCAGTCACCTCTCAACGTCTCACCTGCCAAAGTCACCAATGTATGCACGAGGCCCTCCTGGATTGGCCAATACTCCAGCTGACTGAAGATTCAAGCACAGCCCAGCTGACCCACAGGCTTCTCGGTGAAATAAATGCTCAGTGTTTCAAGCCATTAGAGGTTGTGAGTTTTGTTATGCAGCGCTATTGTGGGAAGAGATCCAGATACACGTGGGCCATATGGCTTGCTGGCTTCATGTGCTCCGACCCACGCCTATCTTTCTAGCCCCGTGGTTTCCAGCTAGGGGGCAGTTGGTCAGATACAGGTGTGTCTGAAGCACAGGATGGATATTTGAGGGGCAAAAGATGAAACTAGAGGATAGATAGACACATAGATAGATAGATAGGTAGCTAATGGAGATAAGTGAGAGAGAGTGGGGAGGGAAGGAGGAAGAGAGGGAGAGAAGAAAGGAGGGGGCGGGGAGAGAGAGGTCTCAGCCTCTATGAGCTTAACCAGAAAGGAAACCGTGTTGTTAGGTACTAAGTGAGCTCCTGTGTCCCTTGAATTGATCAAGGCTGTAGCTGAGAGTGGAAGGTTCCTGGCGTGCACTGCTCTGACTTCTGAGAGCTTGGGTGGCTAGTACCACTCACTTTCCTGGAGGACCCACAGTGCCATTTGGTTACAACAGAATTGATGCTACCCACCCCACCCTTTATTTGTCAACAGAGGCAACAAAAAAGTAGGGATTGCAGGACAAAGAGGATATTTTACAGGGGAAGGGAGTAGTCCAGAAGGGGAAGTGCGTCTGACCTTCAGGTCCCCATGAGAGAGGAGGAAGTCCCTGAGAGGTGATTTTCCGTTAAGCTGTTGGAGGGAGTCCTAAGGATTCAGTCAGAGCCTTTGGAGGTGTCTAAACCACCACCCTTCAGCCTTGGGGACAGGGGACCAATTCCAGTCTGAAAGATTGGGAGCCCAGACTGTTACCGTACCAGATGTGCCTGGAGATAGTGCAAGAGAGAGCAGAACAACAGGCTGATGGGAACGCTCTCTTTCCAGTTTCCCATCCCTGAGAAGTAAGGAAGATGGCCCCTGCTCAGGCCTCAGAATCAGGGACAGGAGATTAGATGATTTGGGGGGGCTACATGCTTGCTAGAGACAATCACATGGTGAGGGAAGAGGGCCACCCTCCGGGGTCATTGCCAGTATGGCCGGATGTGAGAGCTGCTGTGTCCTGGAGAGCTGGCCCGCGGTGCACCGTGCATCTGACCCAGGGTGTGTGAGGTTTATCTGGAGGAAGGCAGGGCATCCCCATGGGAATTCACAGAAGGAGAATGCACTTAACATTTCCCTCTCCCATTTTGTCACCTCAAAACTGAAGAAGTTAGTCCAGGAGGAAGAGTTCAGATGGCACAATGCAATTTAAACTTCAAGAGAAGCAACTCTGGTCTGCTGGGATGTCGCTCAGGGAGCCAGGGCAGGCAGAGTCCAGCTCAGCAAAGAGGTCAGCATCCGGATCCCTGCAGACTGTGGATGCGTGAGGTTACCTGACACGGGAAAGTGAGGCTGCTGATGAAATTGGGGTCACTAACAGCTGATGTTGAGAGGGGAAGTGATCCTGATTATTCAGGTGGGGCAATGTCATCAAAGCGCCCTTAAAAGTGGAAGAGAGACTCAGAAAATGAGAATCAGAGGGAGATGAGATGGGGGAAAAAGTCAGATGCAGCAGGACTGGCTCTGCAGATGCAGGGAGGGGTCTGGGGTTTGTAGATGGAGGGAGGGGTCTCGGGCCTGCAGATGCAGGGAGGGGTCTTGGGCCTGCAGATGGAGGGAGGGGTCTTGGGCCTGCAGATGCAGGGAGGGGTTTCGGGCCTGCAGATGGAGGGAGGGGTCTGGGGTTTGTAGATGGAGGCAGGAGTCTCGGGTTTGCAGATGGAGCAAGGGGTCTGGGACCTGCAGACCCGGCTATTTCCCCTCAAGGACGTGGGCCTTGCTTCCTGCCACAGTGCCTGAACGGTTCTTCCTTCTGACCTTCACATGACCTGCTCACTTAGCCCGTGTAGAATCTGCTCAAAGCCACCTTTCCAGTGAGGCATATATGTTTATAATATATGCCATACACATATGTGCACACACATACACATACCTTGCTGAAAAGACATTGGGGGAAATAAGACGCACAACACATACACAGACACTGCTACATAGCCTACGAGATATATACACATGGATGTAAGCAAGGATACATATATGAAATTATACATATAGAATACAGAATAGGGAGATCTACAGAAAAATATCCCATTTTCCTTTCCATGGAAGAAATTATATGTATGAAACTATTATAAAGGATATATATATGAAAATAGAGTATATATAAATATAGCCATATATAGGTTATATAGGAGATGAGACATGTGAATGTATGTGTGTAGCCTAGTTTTCTCTTCTGTAAAAGAAACTACATATATGTTCCTAATTATATAAGAAACAGGAGATATATATATTTATATATATAGATAGGAGATTATATGTATATGTATATGCATATATATATATACTTTTCTCATTTAAGGAGGAAACTACATATATAAAACTGTATCACAGGATATAATGAAACATACACACACACAGACACAGACGCACATACACAGACACAGACACACATACACAGACACACACGCACATACACAGGCACACACGCACATGCATAAACACACAAATTATCCCCTGTTTTGTCCTCCAGTTGGAAACTGAGGAGGGCAGGGACTGTCTTGCTACTGCTGAATCTGCAGCACTCTGAACAGTGCCTTGTGTGTATCAGAAACTCAATAAACACTTGTTAAATTATTTATGTTTATGCTGAAGACTCTTCATTAAATCAGTTACAAACATTTGAATTTTGAATTCTGTATGAGAGCCTCCATAGCATCTTCTGAACCTCAGGTCTCTCAAGTCTTAACCTGGCTCTGTAGAAGAAAAATTTTCATCCGGCAGAGGCACGGTACTCATTTCTGATCTGCACCAGTGCCTGAATCTTACTCCCGGCTGGACCTCGAATTGTTCCCACTGCCCTGACCTGCATCTGCGCTCGCTGGAGAGGCCTGGAAGAGACCCCCGGGGCCTCCGTCCTGAGTCATTTCCCACGAGACATGTTGCTCAGGAACATCAGAATCCAAAGAGGTGTTCTTTGGAATTTGGAATCCACTGACTCTCTTCCTTGCCCGTAGCCATGACCTCCATACTAAGAGAGGCATCAGCACTTGTTTGACCTGGAAGAATGCCGACCTTCTTTTCCTCTTGGTCACACACACTCATTATGCGGTACTGGTTTTTCCTCTCTTCTTGGATCAAAGAGCTTCTCACGAGGGGAAAGATGGCAGAAGCTCTGTAACTGACTCTAAAATTGAAATCAGGATCTGTGGCAAGTTCTTATGAGACAAACTTTAAGGCTCTGAAACACTAATCATGAAAAATACCCTGTTTCTATGATTATAATCTCAAATTTAGGTTTGTACACATATTGTTGCCCTTGTTTTCTCCTCTTATTAATTTGTATTCTCTTGTATAAGAGGACAGGGCCAGCTGGGTTCTAATTATCTTCCACTGCCGCCATCAGTGAGATTCTGTGGTACAAATGTGGGTTTGAATTACAGCTGGTATGTTACACACTGTGGTGTTGGCTGCGTGCCTCATTTTAGCACCAAAGGAGGTTCGAATCCTATATCACTATATACAACATTACTGTTCTAATGTTGCGCTTCAAAAATGACACAACAGCTTTGTGCCAATTACATGCACTCTGTATATGATTTGCAGTGTTTAATTGCCTGCGTGTTTAGAGGGTTTAAGGTGACATATGGAATATAATTCATGCTTTAATGTACCCGTTACCAACATGGTTTTCTTCTTCGTATAGCAATTTTTTTTGTGGTCACAGAACTAAAGGTTAAGTAAATAATTTTCCATCAAGGAGGAGAATTATCAAGGCTCACCCTTATAGTCATGTTAGAAACCCCAAGGTGCTATGCCTGCAATTTGGGCTGCTGCCAGCACCCATTACAAATCCCTTCGCCCATAATATCTTGCCCACCATGCCTTAGAGCATTTAGCAAATAAACACATCCAAAATGGAATTTTACTAAAATAACCCATTAAACACAAAGTATGTGTGTTAAAAAGTCAGGTTAACTGGAAATACCATCAAAAGGAAATGAAGGATCTAAGGCTTTATATCTCATTGGATGTTTATCCATTTTTCATACAAAGATGGGTTTGTCGTTCATTCATTCAACAAATCATTATTTATTAAGCAACTGCTACAAACCTTCTGTTAAGTCCAGGAATATAGAAACCAGTCATATATGTCCTCAGTCTTGAATTCCTCCAACTGTATCAGCTGTGTTCACCCATAATAACTGAGGGCTACAATGTGCTAAGTGCGATGAAGTCACATCTTACCTGAGAGCTAAAGTCTAAAGAAAGGCACAATTTGCCTACACTGAAGATTTTTCTTGAAACTCTCTTTATTTTATTTTATTTTATTTTTTTGAGACAGAGTTTCGCTCTTGTTACCCAGGCTGGAGTGCAATGGCGCCATCTCGGCTCACCGCAACCTCCACCCCCTGGGTTCAGGCAATTCTCCTGCCTCAGCCTCCTGAGTAGCTGGGATTACAGGCACGCGCCACCATGCCCAGCTAATTTTTTATAATTTTAGTAGAGACGGGGTTTCACCATGTTGACCAGGATGGTCTCGATCTCTTGACCTCGTGATCCACCCGCCTCGGCCTCCCAAAGTGCTGGGATTACAGGTTTGAGCCATCGCGCCCGGCTCAAAACTCTCTTAAACTGAAGCTCTCCTGACCATGCCTCTCGTTTGGCCTTTCATGCCTGATTTTGTCATTTTGATCTTCAGGGTTGGGAAGCAATCATTTGCAATCTTCATGGTTTGCTTTTATTACCTACCCAGTACCTATTAAAGGGACCCTTGGTCCCTAGATTCTTGTTATCATTTAAGTTGCGAAATAACTTTAATTTGCTGTCCCATCTCTCCACGTAGAAAACAGAAAATATGGAGAAGCAATCAGGGCTGGGCCCCTTTCTAACCTCACCCCTGCTTTCTTGCCTTTACATCCAGAACATTAGCTCGGCAACCATTCTCACCATAGCTTTACTCTTTTCTGACGGAGCCACCTGAATACAATCTTAAACATCACTCACCAACTGAAAGCCAAATAATGCAACAAACATATAAAAAAAAGCTCATCGTCACTGGTCATTAGAGAAATGCAAACCAAAACCACATTGAGATACCATCTCACGCCACTTAGAATGGCGATCATTAACAAATCTGGAGACAACAGATGCTGGAGAGGATGTGGAGAAATAGGAACACTTTTACACTGTTGGTGGGAGTGTAAATTAGTTCAACCATTGTGGAAGACAGTGTGGCAATTCCTGAAGGATCTAGAAATAGAAATATCATTTGATCCAGCAATCTCATTACTGGGTATGTACCCAAAGGATTATAAATCTATATAAATATAAAGACACATGCACACGTATGTTCATTGTGGCACTGTTGACAATAGCAAAGACCTGGAACCAAGCCCATCAATGATAGACTGGATAAAGAAAATGTGGCACATATACACCATGGAATACTATGCAGCCATAAAAAGATGAGTTCATGTCCTTTGCAGGGACATGGATTAAGCTGGAAACTATCGTTCTCAGCAAACTGACATAAGAACAGAAAATGAAACACCTCATCTTCTCATCTACTAAAGTGAGTATTGAACAATTGAGAACACATGGACACAGGGTGGGGAGCATCACACACCAGGGGCTGTCAGGGGGTGGGGGGCTAGGGGAGGGAGAGCATTAGCAGAAAGACCTGATGTAGATGATGGGGTGATGGGTGCAGCAAACCACCCTCGCACATGTATAACTATGTAACAAACCTGCATATTCTGCACATGTGCCCCAGAACTTAAAGTATAATTTAAATAAGTAAGTGGGAGCAAAATGATAAGAACATATGAACACAAAGAAGGAATTAACAGACACGGGTGTCTACCTGAGAGTGGAGGGTGGGAGCAGAAAGAGGAGCAGAAAAGATCACTATTGAGCACTTGGCTTAATTCCTGGCTGATGAGATAATCGGTACAACAAATCCTCACGACACAAGTTTAGCTATGTAACAGAGCTCCACACGTATTCCCAAACCTAAAATAAAAGTTCAATAAAAATAAACATAAACAACATTGTCCATCAATTCAGCCCTTGAAACTCCTGCTTATTTTGTGGGGGCCTGGAGGGAGTCTCATCTGCCTTCCAGGGTATACTTTCACTGTTTTACATGAAGGTTCAGGAAAAATCCACTATGCAGTGAATACATAGGTGCCTCCCATCCAAATGAAGAGAATGTTGTTCAGAGTTGTTTCCATGTTTTTCCTGGTGAAGACAGGAGTCTTCCTCCTCCCGGTGACAAGCAGAATCCTCTATGTGACAACCAAGAGAGATGGCCGTCTTCATCCTCATTCACTGTGACTTCTTAGATAGGATCTTTCTTTCAACATAATTGATAGCCCAGTGGGCAGCAGGCATTGTTCTGGGCACCGGGGAATCGGTAATGATCAAAACCAACTAGTCCTCACCCTTGTAGAGGCAGACAATGAACAGATAAAGAAGCAAAAAACGCAGGAAGCCTTCGGTGATAAGCTCAATGAAGAAACAGAGCAGGGAAGAGGGATGGGAATGTCAGAGGTGGGCACTGCTATTGAAACTGGGGAGATACGAGCTGAGACCTGAAGACAGGGAGGGGTAGCTACGTGCATTCAGCAGGAGGGAGAACTGCAGGGTGAGGTCTCCAGGCAGGCGCAGGCCTGGGAGGTTCCAAGAGCCATCTAGAAACGCAGTGTGGCTGGAAGGAGACTTGCGGGAAATGAGGTCAGGATGGCAGGGCTAAGAGGGAGGGCGGGGAGATGGAATAGGCCTTAGGGGCAACTGTAAGGGATGTAGCTTTCACTTGGAGGGTTTCAAGTGGAGAAATAATGTGATGTGACCCATATTTTGAAAAGATCACTTTGACTCTTGGTGGAGAGTAGATTTTGGGGTGGGGGACAGGATCAAAAGCAATGAGGAGAAGCTCGTAGAAAATCATGTTACCTTGTGACCCTGACCCACTTATCCGGCGTGAAATAATTAAACCAGGGAAAGATTTGTGTAGATAGTCCTGAAATTAAGAACATAGCTGAAGGCATATTCCTACTTATAAGGGAATTTACACATAATTGAAGTGACTCTAATTGATTAATTTTCCAATGTAACCATATGTGTTTCTTTGTGGTCTCAGAACTAAAAGTCTGTTAGAATCACCATTTGTCATAAGGATCATGCCCATTTAACAAAATAAGAAACAGCTATTAAAACCAAAAAACTGAGGAATAAAGAGTTTACGGGGGTTAGGCGCGGTGGCTCATACCTGTAATCCTGGCATTTTGGGATGCCGAGATGGGCAGATCATTTGAGGTCAGGAATTTGAGACCAGCCTGGCTGAGAAGGTACAGCCCCATCTCTACTAAAATGCAAAAATAAGATGAGTGTGCTGGCACATGCCTGTCATCTCAGCTACTTGGGAGGCTGGGGCAGGAGAATGGCTTGAACCCAGGAGGTGGAGGCTGCAGTGAGCTGAGCTCCAGCCTGGGCGACAGAGCAAGACTCCATTTCAGAAAAAGAATAATGAAAAGAGTTTGTGGCCCTTGCCCTGCTAGTCATTGTTATGGTTTAAATCCATGCAATTTGACTTGGGAGCTCAGACGCTTAAGCAGCATGTTACAGTCTTTTGACGCCACAACAGTCAGGTAGGATTTCACTGTGGCGGTATCTCTAGAAAGGGTATGTGTCCCTCAGTCTGATGCAATCCTCATCATTCCCTATTGCTTTTACTCATTTAAATTATCTCCTGGCTCTTGTGTTCTTCAGGGCTGGTGATTCCTGATCTAGATATTCTCCAAAATCCTTTATGTAAATTGTACGTAAGTGGGGTGGCAAGGGGAGGTCTAGTGGTTCCTTTCCAGGTCTAAGATGCCCATGATTGACAGTATCGGGGATTGTTGGACCAATGTCTGAGCATAATAAAATGATGTGCTGTATTTGACTGGTGATGTCTGCTCTGGGTTTGGTACTGGGGGGAATATCTTGTGGAAGATTTATTTGCTGATGCTGTTCTAGGCAAACCTAGGGTATAGGGCAAGGTTGGTCCATCTTTGACCCATTTTCCCTCATTTTTTTGAGGTTTCCCCATTTCCCCAGGAGGTATAATCTCTGCTTGTCCAGATTTGCCTTTTAAAAAGAAAACTGATCTAAAGAATTCACTATGACAAACATTTCCAGGAATTGATATATACAACTTTACCTAGAAATGTATTAACTTTAATGAAGGATCGTAGGGAGAGATTAATGCCTAAACCAACGGCATGAAGTCTTGCTGGAACTGCAGGCATCCATGGAGGAGTTACTCCATGGGGGAGTAGGGTTTCAGTACATAATCACGTATGTCGTCACCCGTGAAGAAAAGGTCCAGTACAGTCCATGAGCAGGGATTGGCACTTTCTCTACAAAGGACTGGGTGCTAAGTATTTTCAGCATTGCAGGCCATGTGATTTCTCTCACAACAGCTCAACTCTGCCCTGGTCATGCAAAAGCAGCCATTGATAAGATGTAAATGAGTGGGTGTGGCTGTGCTGCCATGAAACGATTTTTTATGGATACTGAACTTTGGATTTTCTATGATTTCTATACGTCAACTCTGTCGTCGTAGCAGAAAAGCAGCCACAGACAATACTCAACATCTAAACATGCCCAGTCTCATCCCCCGGCAGGCATAGTTTGCCAACCCCTCTTCTAGATGAGTGATAGAGAAAGATAGAAACGGACTGGAAATGGGTACCACATATGTCATCTCCAGTGATGCCTCAGAATTCTCTGTGCCTCAATTCCCTTACCCCCAAAACGAGGATAAAAATAAACCTATATCGATGGAGCAGAACAGAAAGCCCAGAAATGAATCCATGCTTATAAAGTCCCTTGAATTCCAACAAAGGTATCAGGAATACACAATCGGAAAGGACAGTCTCTAACAAACGGCACTGGGAAAACTGGATATCCACGTGCAGAAGCATAAAACTGGACCCTTGTCACCCACCATATCCAAAGATAATTCAAAGTAGATTAAAGCCTGAAACAAAAAACCAGCAACTACAAAACTATCAGAAGAAAACACAGGACAGAAACTACAAAACTACCAGAAGAAAACACAGGGAAACACTGTATGGCTTTTGTCAGGGCAATACTTTTCTGGACTTGACCTTGAAAGCACAGGCAACAAAAACAAAATAGACAAATGAAAGTGAATGAAACATAAACGGTTCTGCACAGCAAAGGAAACAATGGAGAGTGTGAAGACGGGACCAATGGAATGGGAGAAAATATTCGCAAGCCATACATCCAAAAAGGGTTAACACCTAAAACGCATAAGAAATTCAAACAACTCAATAGTAAGAAAACTATCCAATTAAACACGGGCAAGGGAACTGAGTAGACTTTTCACAAAAGAAAAGCTACAAAACGTCAACAGATACACTTAAAAATGCTCAGCCTCATGAATCATTGGGGAATGAAGATTAAAAACATTCCTTGGTTTTCTTATCACCACACACCTCAAACCATTCCTCTTTTAACATCACCTCAGAATGGCTATTAAGAATTGTTAAATTATAAAAGTCATTAAGAATTAGGAAACAGCGAGTGTGGGCAAGGATGTAACGAAAAGGGAAGCTTTGTACATTGTTGGTGGAAATGTGAATGAGTACGCTCGCTGTGGAGTACCGTATGGAGGTTTCTCACAAAACTAAAATAGAATTACCATATAATCTAGCAATCCCACTGCTGGGTATTTACCCGCAAAGATCTGAAATTAATATGTCAAAGAGGTGTCTGCACGTCTGTGTTCACTGCAGCAGTACTTACAATAGCCGAGTTACGGAATCAACCTAATTGCCCATCAACAGATGGATGGGTAAAGGAAATGCATGACATATATGCAATAGAATAGTAACCACACACCAAAAAGAAAACAAAATTACATCATTTTTGACAACATGCATGTAATTTGAGAACGTTATGCTAAGTGAAACGTACCAGGCCCAGAAAGACAAATACTGCATGTTCTCACTTACATGTGGAATTTAAACTAAAACAATGGATTTCATCAAAGCAGAGAGTACAGTGGTCATTACAGAGGTTGGGGCTTTGGTACAAGGCCTCAGCCTGGAAAAATAAGTTGTTGTTGTTTTGTTTAAATCTGTTCCACAGTGTGGAGAATACAGTTAACAATAGTGTATTGTACATTTCAAAAAGTGTCAAGAGAATAAATTTCAGCTGTTCTCACTACAAAAATTAAGTATCTGAAGTGAAGGATGTTAGTCTGATTTAATTATTCCACCTCTTATTCATAAATCACAATGTCACTTTGTGCTCCATAAATATATACAATTTACAATAAAATAAAAATAAAACAGAAGATAAATGTTTTAAACTATAACTGATAAAAATATCTATGTTATGGGGTTGCTGTGGGGATTATAGTACAAATGCTTACCTGCTGTGAAGTGAGCATCCAGTAAGTATTAAAACATCACTATTTCTATTCCTATTGCTAGAACACCTCCATTTACTTTTTTTTTGTGAGACAGGGTCTCGCTCTGCCATCCAGGCTGGAGTGCA